TTTTTTTTTTTTTTTTTTTTTCTTCTTCTTCTTCTTTTTGTTTTGTTGCTATGATGTACACTCTATGTATGGGTGACAAGTTCCATTAAAAAGGCCAATGGGTTTTCTTATAAATGGCATGAGAAATTTGTGAAAATTCAGGTCTCCATTAACCTTCTCTCTCTCTCTCTCGAGTCGACCACGGCCACAGATCTGGTGCACAATCAAAGGCTGTCTGTACCGCGCGAGAAGTTTCCAGGGCCTACGGGGTCCAGGCACATGGCCGACAGCAAATCTGGGAGGCCCAGATCGAGAAAAATCTGCACCGTTCACGGAGGCAGGCTGAAAAAGGCCGAGGACGGTCAGTTCTACTAAAGAGCGGCCAGCCCCTGCGGCTCATTCACTCTGCATTGAAAGCGTTTGTGCCCAGAGTGCTGCAGAGCAAGGTAGAGAGGGAGAGAGAGGCGGGTGACGGGAGGAAGAAGGCAGCGCCAGCCCAGGAAGAAGAGAGTAGCCATAGCTAGGAAGGGCGCCTGTGCGCCATAGCTGTGGAGGTAGGGCGAGGAAGAGGATGATCAGGACTGTTAAGGAGAGCGAGAGTGAGAGTGTGGGAAGCTTAACCTTGAGTTACCTGTTGGCACTGGTGATACTAGAGCGGCGGTTCACATCAGGCAGCTGGAGAAAGGCCGGCGCCGACCTCCATAGCCAGCATTGATGCTGGAGGTTGGGCACCGTTGCTGCCACCTGCTGCAGGACTTCATCAGTGGCTTTCAGGGAGAAACTTGCATTTGCTGAGGTGGCGAGTTGGTGGGAGAAGGTCCCTGGGGGCGAAGAGAAGTAGAAGAGCCTTTTCACATTTCAATTGTATTGTTGATTATGAAGGAGACTATCCCCTTCTCTCTCTCTCTCTCTCTCTCTCTCTCTCTCTCTCTCTCTCTCTCTCTCTCTCTCTCTCTCTCTCCCCTCCCCCCCCACCCACCTCTCTCCCTCCCTCTTCCGCCCCCCTCTCAGCAAGCACCCAATCAGCTGAGCAAAGCTCAGATCTCTCAGGGCATACCCACACTAGGACTTTCTGCATTCAGCTACGAACGTAATTGCGGCCCGATGCATCCCGGTCTGGACGTAATTACAGGCAGATGAATATGCCTTCAGCCTGAAAACTGTGTGGGTCATTACGGTTCTTGTTTGCTGCTGTTTCTATATCACGACAAGTTTCTTAAACTTTCTTTCATGCGAGTTCGTGAGACTACAGCCAAGTGCCATGAACTTGGCCAGGCAGGGTCTGCGCAGACGGGTCCGGGGTTCGAATTTGGTGAAATTATCAAATAGCTAGCTGAGTTAGCTGACTATATATTGCCACCAACTCACTGCGAGTTCAACTCCTGCACAGACAGACATAGGCCCAGGTCCTAACTATTGGTCCAGGTCCTAACTATTGGTCCAGGTCTAAAAGATTCAAGGGTCAACAATTGTCTCTCTTGTCCTAGAGGGGTCTGAGAAAAGTCCCAGGGTCAACATGTCCCAGGTCCAGGGTCCAAAGTGGACCCCACTAATGTCTCACGCAGGTGGCCTGTACCCTACGTGAGGTACTAGACTCCAGCAAAATCAGGAGTCAGGCCCAAACCCGGGAAGGGTAGGTAAGATTTCTCAGGAGTCCGCCACCACTAATGGTTAACGGGGACCCCCTATTTTCAGGTCCCGCATGAAAGCGC